ATAATTTGCTGAATGAAAGACCCAAGACACGTTGGAGGATCTATCTCTGTCTCTCCGTTGCCCTGGGAATGCCTCGGGATTCTCCCATATAAGCCGGAGGAAGTGTGTGGATAGTAAGTCTCTACTGCTGCCCCCGCAAAAGAAACTTGTATCGATGACTAAATGTACTTTTCTTGATGAATAATTAACCTGAAGACTTCAGAGTGCCCCATCTCTGCAGACAGAAGGAGTGGCGTGAATCCATGTTTGTCAAAGATGTTAATATTTGCTTCACTTTTGATCAGTGATAACAGGGCCGTGGCTTTGTTCTGTCTCACGGCTGAGAAGATTGCGGAGTGGATGCGTTCTTCACTCACTGATCCTCTGTTATTGCCTGTTTAAAATAGAATCAGCAGATCATAAAGATTAAGAGATTCTTTATTTGTCCTACAGTGGGAAAATGTCAATAATAAAAACAGTGAGATGCAGAGGACATATTCAAATGTGCCATTCTACCAATAAATGTTGTAACCCTATAAAGTCAATTCTCAAAAACAATCTAAATCAATGATAACTAATATAAAAACACTTTTCAGTTCAGAGAATTATAGTCAGAACGACATAAGACCATCACAAAAATACTCACCAATTAGCATCTTTAACACTGAATTTTGGTTTTGCTTTATTGCTTCATTTATCATCTCCCAGTGAACTGTTGCCCCAGCTTTTAGAAGAGCCGTGACAGTATTTTCATTCCTTTTCGCAACTGCGTAAAATAATGCTGTTTTATTCTGACAATCCAGGGCCTCGATGAGTGCTCCGTTTTGCACAATAGTCTCAACCTGCTGCCAGTCATCCTCCTGGGCAGCTCTGTGGAGAGTTTGGGAAGTTTCTTGTGCTTCTGGTGGTTCCTCTGTGGTCTCAATTCTCCTGGGAGTCCTCAAATCTTCAGCTTCTGGATGGATCAGTAGCTCATCATTGGCTTGTGTCTTAGTTTGCGTTCTGTTATTTGTCATTTCTATTTTTCCCATCACTTCATTGCTTTCCACAGGCATATGTCTTATTAGAGGGAGATCCAGGGGAGATTTAAAACAATCTTCTTTCAAAATAAGCATAACACTGTTTCTTTGGCTGGTTTTTCTTTTCATTACTTCATGCATTAATTGTTGGTCCTGCTCAAGTAAATATCCAATCAGCTGCCTTTCTGTGTCTTGTATATACTCATTGACAGTCATTACATATTCGCAGATTAGGTGATATAGCTCCGGATCCGCTCTCATAAGACAAGGGTAGAAGAACTTGCGACAGGCTCGTTCACCTCTCTCCTCAATCGTGCCCAAAATCTTTGAGTTCTGTTCGTGCCGTGTCCTCATTGTTAAAATAATGGATCTCTCCTTTGTGGAAATGAGGCCCTCTCTTACAGCGTGATCCAGAAGGTCGCCAGTGTGAAAAATCCCATGAGTTAGATCTTTCCTCTTGGTCTGAAAAACATCTATGGCATACGGATTAGCCCCATGATATGCAGCTTTTTTCAGATTTTGAATTGTTGCGATCATTATAGAATCAATAGTCCCAAAAGTTAAAATGTTCTGCTGTGTTTTGTGTTGCCTATTGCTCAGTCAACCTGTGGTGGCAACAGAATAATGCGCTTCTTGAACCCGACCCTTGCATTGTTCCATTAGTTCAAGTTGTACATACAAATTCCAGTGCTTTGCTACTGGATTAGTGAATGCATTATAGAACTATATGTTGGTTCTTAAAACCTTTAATTTATGGGGCTATTTCAGAGCTAAAACTTTGGTCTTAAAGATTGACTATACTTATTTTGCACTTTCTGTATTGTAGGTTCATACATTTTATTAAGCTAAAGATTGTGTTTTGTTAGAATCAAGGATTTCTTCATCTTAGTCTGAATCGTGATGATCTGTTTTATTTGAAACATAAATGAGTTAAAAGCTGTGTAGCTTTTGTTCAAGAAGCTATACCCGATTTTTTTTCTAAGTAGTTCATAAAAATGCTTTTTACTACATACAAGTTGTATCATAATACATCATTTAATTGAAAACTTGAGGTAATTGATTCAGCTGTGTAAGAATTACAAGCAGTGAAAAGTGCTGAGTAGAGTCTGAGCGGGCCGCTCTTTCTCCTCCGCTCACAGAACGAGCAGCGAGCAGCCTGCGTCCTCTAGCCTCTACAGCGCTGCTTAACACCAGGGCTTCAACTTCAAAATTCGAATATAAATTCTAAAATAAAAAATGATGAACAAAATAATTGAATAAAAAAATGTGAACAAATATTAGACAACCCTTGTAATTCGAAATGTATTTAATGACTGCAAATAAAATAGTTAGCTCCCAAAGGTTTCACCAGGACGTGCTAGGCAGGTAACAGCTAAGCTAGCTAGCTGTTTCGTGGTAACTTCCGGGTTTTTCGCAATCGCTTTTTGTCACTTTGAAACAGTATTTTTGTTATGAAAACGTTAACAGCAAATTCTGAAATCATCCGTGCATGTGTGTTAAGGATGTATATGTGTACTGTATTGTCCGATTGACGTTTAATGGTGTTGATTGATAGATATGTAGTTGTTTATTGAGCGTGGCTAGCTCCGTTGGCTTCTCTACACAGACAAGTGTGTAGTGACAGGCGCTGATAGCTTGTTGTACTTGCGGAGTAATGGCAGTATTTTACACACCTGAATTACAAACAGAGGTGGCATTGGGGCTTCGGTCATTATTAGTTTGAGAGTTCTGTTATCAAGAAAAAAATATCGGAAGAATTGCTGCTGCTGCTTTGAGGAGCTCTATAACAAATTATAATTCAATATTAGAATATATTCTAAGGTTTTAAATTAATACATTCGGACGCAAAACTAGCGGTATTCTTTTACTTATATATTGTGTTAGCAGTGCGTTGCTTTAGTGCCATTTCATCGGTGATTGTTGCACAGCTTACAAGAAGTTGCGCTAATGCTAATGTTAGCATATTTATCAGATCGCAAATAAAACTAGGTGGCTCTGTGTTATGAGAGCGTAGGGGAAATAAGAAGCCATTGAGCGAGTTGGGGGGCGGTGCTAAACATTCAAACATTGCAGAAACGGGTATAGCGCCTTTCAGAGTAGACTATATTGGTTAAATTAACCCAAAACTATTAATGAATTATTAGCATTTTGACATTCAGCGGATCCATTGATCGTTGTCCCTGTGGAATAGTTGGAATAGTTTAGATTCCTTCTGTAATTTATGCAGGATTTACGCTTTTGTCGCAGCTTTACATCAATTCCCGTAAAACACGCCCCTATGCCGTGACGATTATCCGAGTTATGCCTGTCCTTATATGGCAAGAAGGTGTCTCCTTTCCGGAATGATGTCATGGGGGTCCCAAGTTTGGACCGTTTGGACCTTCCCAACATTACATTATCAATTTTATTTATATTATTTATTCACAATAAATAATTGTAATGATTTCTTAACAGTGTTAATACACTTTTTTTTAAAATTATAGTCTTTAATTAATCAAAGAAATCAAATACCCAAAACAGTCTTTGATTTCAAATATTAATCGAGGATATCTACGCAAGGCAAGGCAAGTTTATTTGTATAGCACAATTCATACACAAGGCAACTCAATTATGCCTCTTTGAGTGCTATTGAATAGCGCAATACAAACCGATGTATTATTATTGTTACATATTTTTACTCGTTGAAAACAGTTTTTTTGTGTTAACATAATGAATGTTTCTCGTGTTGTATTATACATAAAACGTGTAGGTTTTAATCAGGTTTTAATGTATGGTTTTAATCAGCCATGTAGCTTCATGACTGTTTCAGAGATCAGTCGTCAACAACCACGGCCTGTGTCTCCCTCTAGTGGTCACTCACTGCAAAGTGATTTTTTTTTTTTTTTAATATATCTACGTTTCTCTTTACATTTAATAACACACGCATGTGAAAATATGTTGTTAATCAATTATTACTCAATTATTTTGTAACATTTCTATACAGTAATATACTGTATGTTCTAAAGATATGTACTCCTCAGTGTAGACACAAAAAGTCGAATATTTGTTTTCAATTTAATTATGCATTACTAAAGAAATTAGTTGTTGAAAGTTTGTATGTAGACTATGATGACATGCTAATGCTGTATTCTTTATTATTAATATTCTGCCTTCCTGTCTCTTCCTTATTGTGATGAGTTAGTGACACTGTGTTCTCAAACAATAATTTAACAGGCTCAAGCACTAGTGGAATTTACCTGAAGGTATTGGGAACGCAGCTTTAACAACATGTTACAACATGTTTCACTGAATGAGATTTTGACATGGGAAGGCACACCTACTGTCACACAAGAACACACAATCATGTTGCTTCATTTTCTGTCATTTATTTCCTTAAATATCAATAAGTCTCTGAAGTGCTCAGAAAAACATAAAAAGTATACACATTTTTATTACAAATGGTAAACATAAGTACTCCAAGTTGATCTTATATACATAACAATGAGTGAAACCCCATTAAAGAAGTTAAGAAAAAACAAGTAAATCTTGAAACTTTCTAACTTAATTTCTTACAATTAAGAACAAGTACATGGTACTGTAAATCAGAAGTCAGGCAGCTTTAAAGCAAAGTTTCAGCTGTTGAACTTGACATCACAGCCAGACTGGGCTGAGGCCAATATGGCTATAGTCTGTTTGAGGAATCTTAAAACCTCTAATACTGAAGTCCATCTTGGTCAATACCAGGTCCATGCAGGACTAATAAAGTAGAGCTCTGTCCAGTTTGGCGCGAAACAGAAACAGAAGTGTATCCTGCTTTTCCCCATGCCCCTCTGGTACATGGGGGCTGCTGTCACTGTCCCGGGCCCCGCTCTGGGACGCACTCCCGGAGTGCGCGTGCACCCACTGAACTGAAAAGTGCGAGCCCGGTCCTGCCAGTGTCACGCTGCATCGTCCCATTGGGAGATATGGCTCTCACTATGACAGGGTCTTGAATCAACTGCAGTGTCCACACAGTTCTGGCGCTCAGAAGGTCTGGAGCTGCTGCGTCAACATGAGTTGGCAGCCGCTGTTCACGTGGTTCATCACCTTCTGTTTGAGCTGGGCCACTTGCTCCCGGAGCATGTTGGCCGTAGAGGCCAGCTCAGAATTCTGCGACTTGAGGTTCTTCACTTTGTCCTCCAGTCGTGAGATCCTCTCCAGCTTCCTTTTCCGGCACTTTGAAGCAGCGATACGGTTCCTCATGCGCTTCCTTTCGGCTTTGATGCGCTCTTGACTCTCCATGTCGATTGGAGAAAGGGGAGGGGTCTCTCCGGGCATTTCAGGCACCGTCTGGGGCTCTTCTTTTAGCGTGAGGCGCGGCAGCTGCCCCGATGAAGTCTGTCCGTACATTGGAAGCTGAGGAGCGGCAGAGAAGGACATGGTTGGCGCTGAGGTGGTGTAGTTGGGCGCAGAAACGGTGCTGATGGCCGGGTTAAAAGTGTTCAAGTCCTCGTAGATGGGAGATTCGGGGCGCATGGAAGAGCTGTGATTGTATGAGGCTCCAGCGACAGAGGAAACCGGCGGCAGTGCATTGTTGACAGTGGCCTGGGCGGAGGTCACGTTAGTGGGAGCGGGCATGTGCTGGTGGTGAAGCTCAGCCAAGGCGCGCACGAAGCCCTCAGCGAAGCCCTCCTGCTCGTCTGTCACATTCTTGGGGCAGATAAACTGCGTGGGGGTCGGGGTAGTGGTAATGAGCCCGTTGCTGGACTGTATAATAAGCCGCTCAAGCTCGGGGGAAGCCAGCTTGAGTAAACCCACGTCCGGAGAGGTGAGCATCTCGGCGGCTTTGGCGCGGAGGTGCGGCTTCAGAGTAGTGCCAGTCGGGTTCGACAGGTTCAGTGTCATGTTGTGTTTCAAAGCTTTGTTGTTGTATCCGTAGCCCGCGCTGTCAAGCTGGGAGAAAGCGTTGAGTGAGTCGTCATAAAAAGTAGTTTCCATCTTGTTATACATAGACAAAAAAATCAAAAACTGTCAGTAAAGTCTATAGAGTGCGTTTCGGGTATTCTTATTTCTCAGAAGAAGTTTCCCAGCGTCCTCTTAGTTTGTTAGAATGCCAAACTGTGAAGCGCGCTCTTCCCGATACAAAAATACGAACTTACTTCTTTCAGCGGACGATGTTTGTTGTTGTGAGTTTGCCAAGCCAAAGTTTGCAGAGTTTTTGCTCAGTTACCTCTCTATAAAAGCACCTCGTATGGCGCGCTCTGGCGTGTGTACACTGAGCGCTGACAGCGTGGAGCGTACCTTATCTGCGGCGGCTCTCCAAAAATAGCCATGATGTCATGACGCCTCGCTCTCATTGGCTGGAGGGCGTGTCTAGGGGCGGAGCTTGTACGTCAGATGAAGTGCGTTGCCTTGACGACCACTCGAAGATTCTGTGTCTCGCAGTGCATTGTGGGATGAGGTAATGTTGCAAGGAGAGCGTGGCGCGAGGCATTGTGGGATTACGTATTGTTTTTGAATATCTAGTTACGCGCTCTACTGTCAGTGGTGGGACAGTGGTGGATTACAGACTTTTTATTAGAGACGAGAGTGGACCATAGACAGACCGTATAATACAGGCGAGAGCTGGGACCATAGACTGTATGAAAGAGATGAGAGTGGACCATAGATTGTATACCATAGAAGAGAGTGGACCATAGACTGTATCATTAAGGTGAGAGGTGGGAGAGTGCTTTCTCCTAATGTGAACAACTGTAGTCTCACCATCTGTGCACCTCTGCTCATATCAAGAACATGTGTAATAAACAATGATTCCACTGCCTTTCATTCACTTTGGGGCACATCCAATCACTTCATACATATGTGTTTTTACAGGTAGGTTTCACATGCTGCAATAATATTAGGCTTAAATGATGTGAACTTTTCTGCTCATAATGTTTCCTTTCAAGACAGGTTTGGTTATTAGTGTAGTGCAGTCCATTGTCCCCTGCCTCATGGTCAGAAATCACTGCTGGTCTAATGGCAGGAGGTTAACGGGTGCGTGTTACGTCTTCTCCTCCAGTTCTGCGCACCGCTTATGTCTGGGTCACTTTTTGCCCCTTCAGCTTTACGGCCCGGTATCCCTACTGCACCGCCTCTAAAAATGTCCATGTGACGAGTAAATCAGTCCCCTGGCGCTGTTGGAAGCAGCACCTAAAGAGATGAACCAGATCATAAAACACCAACACCGTCTGACTCTTTATGACAGTTAATGTTGGCTTTATGCACTGTTGTGTTTCTCAAACTCACATGATCAATATGATATACTAGGTGGACTTTGCAGTTGTTGAACATTTATTATTTTAGCCACTTATGATCAGTCCTTTTTAGTGAGGACAAAAATCAAGAATAAAAGTTTTCATTTATTCACTCATCTTCATCCCCTTTGTCCATCTCTGGGTCAGGTTCTAGTCGATGAAGATATACAAAAGACACAGAGACTCTGGAGACAGTTGGACTGGACTTTAAGGTTCTGCTTTAATTCAATGTGTCCCTCTGATAGTGAACAGAAATGATAACAATGTGATTAGCAGGTTACAGATTTAAAAGATATGACAAGCTTCCCACACCCTCATCAGTGCAAAACATTTATTTTGTTTTCTATCTTTATCTAAACAGATTAAATGGCACAGAGAGCCTGAGCACAGCTGTCTGTGTGACCATTTATGGAGTAACTTCAATGTTCTGCTCTGAGAACATTTGCACATATCAAATCAAAACAAAAGCAGTATGATAACAGTTTATCTGTAGCTTTGAGAACATCAACAACACAAAACACATCACTTTATTAACTTCATTTGAACATTTATATTCAGTAATAAACCAAAGCACTTTTCGGTTTTTTCTTTCAGGTCAGAGGGCAGCAGTCACACGTCAAACTCTCTCTCATTTCCAGACATTCACCGAAGGTTTGAGTAACGATTGTTCTACTACCCGGTTTCAGGTAGGACTTATAATTTACCACTCTTTGTACTTTTATTTCCATGCTTTCAAATATAAAGAAAAACATCACTACACTCTTAGGGATGAGTATAAAGTAATGAATAAGTCGAGACAAGAGTTGAATGCCAAAGCCAGTCCTTTTTCTGATTTATGGTGCTGTATAAAGCCAGCGTTCGTTGCGTCTGATTATTAGGTGTCGTCCAATCTCTGAGTGATGTCTCATTGTTCTGTCCTTCACAATGACTGCTTGATGCATGACAGTTTTTCAGCCTGTTTTAATTAATTTGCCCATAAACTGAATCTCGATTCCCAGCAGCCACTCTGGCACCTACAGTCTCACTAGACTTTATTATCCTCTACAATTAATTGTCCCCACTACCAGAGTAATCACATCTGAGATATATTAGCTACAATCTTATGGAATATCGATTGGCTCTGCTTGGTTTTGACCCTTTCAGCACACCGTAACTCACTGGCCTATGACATCATTGAGTAAAGGTGGCACAGTGCTGCTTCTGTCCTTATTTTCCTCTTACAGACAGTTTTGCACCAACCAGTAAAAGCGACGTACACACAGGCGCTTGTTTGTGGCAACTCTTTTTATTTGTTGTCTCAAACTAATTTAATTTGCAAGAGTGTGCCTGGCTCTCATTATGCAAATTAAAACATCTTTACGGAGCAGAATATAGGCTCATATGTTTTGGTGGCTTTTCCTTTCCGCATGTGTTTGGGACTTGTGTGGGCTGTATCTCTAACAGGCCGTCTAGTGTAGTGTGTTGAGGGTAGAATGATCGATAGTTGTTAAAACCCACCCGTTCTGGGACCAGGTGGGCCACTCTGAGCCCGAATGTGTGAGTGTGGCCCGTGTTTGTTCAGGTGGACTAGCTGACCTGTTCCACTCCATTTACCGCGGCTCAAGCTGCAGAAACCGACCCGCAAGTTATGTATGCACTGTGTATAAGTATGTGTGTCACTATTGGTGTGTGACTCGCGGCCTGTTGGCTTCTGTTTTCAGAGCCAATAAAACATAGAGAGAGAGCAGGTAGAGACCCGACAAGATGCAGACATTTGAATATGACGTAAACCTAACCTTCATTTTAAATTTACTTGACAGGAAGATTTTCTATTATTAACAAAGATTGATAGTTTTGCATTTGAACATAAACAAAAGACAAATTTTTGATGGAAAGATGAAAAAAACACACCTTCAAAGCGGAGTAGGTGATAATAATGTGACATTTCTGGCTTTCCCGTATTGGTGTCTGTGGTTGTGTAAATTTGGCTCTGTTTGTAAAACAAGGTGAGTTTAAAGCTTCGAGTAGAAAATATTGTTGTGAGGTTCTGGGTTCATTTTAATGCATCTCAGGATTTTCTTGTGTCATTCATCTGAAGTTTCCAGGTACATGTCTGTCACTTTCTTTACCATGACAGCGAGCGAGACATCTATTTCTAGCAGCCCTGACTCTGCAGCAGTTTAGAACTCTCTGTCACACATGTGGAAGAAAGCCAAAGAGTATTCACACATTTATGGACTCATATTGACATATTTGGTAGCGATGGGACACACGCATTTTACCAGAGTTCAGCTAATGCTAAGGTAACAGCTAACGTATCTGTGTGTTATAACAAATAACAGATGAAAGCTCTCAAAAGTATCGAAAGCGAAGTATCTCACATATTCCAGATAAATGGGTCAATACACTAATGCTCCAGATCCAGATTAGTTTTTCCGACTTGTGCATCTTTCTACTTAGACTGACCTCATTGTGAACGTACTGTAGTTTCTGGCAGATCCGAGTGACTTTGTAAAGTTTGCTTACGTCTAAACGTGTAAGGGATATTTCACTGTTACAGCTGAAGGGGCACAATTGTGGTGAATAGCTGAGAAAACAAGCATTTGCATGAATTTGTAACATGTACAATTCTGATTATCATAACTCAAATTAGAATATTCAAACATCCAATTTTTTTGAAAAGCAGTATTTCACATTTAAATCCTGAGTCAGGGCTTTGCACACTTGTCTTGTACATTTGATACTTATAGTGAATCTAATCCAACCTAATGCAGCAGTACATGTTGAGAAATAAAATCTTCATTTTTGTCTCACACACACACACACACACACACACACACACATAAACACACACACACACACACGCACACACGCAAACACACGCGCACACGCACACACACCTCCTGTGAGACCGTCACGAAACAGGAGCACTGATCAATACTGAGTGCTGTTCTGGTTTCACTGTGATGAGCAGGATTAGGCAGGATTATATTGCACTAGGTGTGTCTCATCTGAAAACATCTACACCATTTTTTTTGCTTTTCATTTTGTAAGAATGTAAATTTTTTCTGTTCCATCTAAAATGTAAAATTTCTGAAACACGGTTGGTTGATTATTTTCAGAAATACGATGATTCCAATCCATGTATTATGTTATAAATATAATGCTAATAATGCATCAGTTTTATACAGCGCTTTTTTGGACACACAAAGATGGTAAGAAGCTACAATTGTAGCCACAGCTGCCCTTGGGCACACTGACAGAAGAGAGGCAACCAGTATGTGCCATCGGCCTCTCCGACCACCGACCACAGCTGCCCTTGGGCACACTGACAGAAGAGAGGCAACCAGTATGTGCCGTCGGCCTCTCCGACCACCACCAACCATTCACGCACACACCAGACTCATTCTAGGCAATGGGGGTCGAAGTGTCTTGCCTAAGGAGACAACAACAGTTTGGCACTCTACAATCTCAGCCGCCCCACTTTGGCACCTTGTGGTCTCAGAGGTCTCCCATTACAGTACGAATCAGGCCCTGTCCTGCTTAGCTTCAGAGGCCTGACAGGATCTGGCTCCCACATGCAGGTGGAGCCACCGAAATATCTGACTAAATGAAGTAAGTTTATAGTGTATTATTATAACACTGTGTTATTGTGAGGACTTGGTTCTTGAAGCTGAAGCTGGAATCGCTGATAATTGACTTACAATTTGAAATTGATAATGAATGTGCCCTGCTAAATTGGTCAAAGGAACAGTTTGGGTATCTCTAAATCTTTCTCAGTTTCTCTGAGCCTGAAGACAACAGCTGTGTGTCCTTGATGCACCTCACTGCTGCTCTTGTGCTCCATACACTTTCATTTAGAAAGTGTATTTCTTCAGGGCCTCTACTCAAACATCTTCTACGATTTGTGAGTTTGTTTCTTCAGTTTGTTACAAAATCTTATAAATACTTTTGATATTTAAAGTTAAGATTTGACTGCTCTGTTAATGATGAATGTTGGGTGAATGAAGCTTTCAACATAACGACATAACTGAGTGACAGCAGAACCTCCACCTCTTTACCTGGAGCTGTCAGTCTCTGTT